CCAGATGGGGAACTAGATGGGGAACCAGATGGAGAGCCTCCATTGCCATCCCCACCAGTTGTAGTTGGTCCAGATGGGGAACCGGTTGGAACGGTGGCCGAAAGGGTACCCGAGGGTATGTCAGATGAAACAGAAGTTGGAGGTGTAGCTGTTGATGAGACGCCACTTGGTGCTGAAGACGAGTCTGTAGTTGATGAAGCATCAGTAGCAGTGTTGGTAGATGTTACTGTAGGAGATGCAGGTACTGACTCCGACGTAGAGGGAGTTGCAGTGGCGGTGTAACTGGCTGACGATGTAGTACTAGTTCCAGGAACATCGGGGATAGCCTTACATGGCTTGCAAGCAGCAGGCAAACCTGGGTTAGGAACGGGACCTTTGTACGTAATACCAGCATTTCTTGTAGCCTGGATCAATCCACCATAATTTGGAGTAACAACTTCAAATAATTCTGGGTCGTAGCCAGTACCAATCTTGAAGTTTTGCTTGTGGGAACCAGAATTAAGAGTCAAGATACCGTTGCTGGCATCATAGGAAAAGGCATTATTTTCCAAAGGAACGCCTGAATTAAGAATCAAGTTCAACCCAATTACATTACCATTTCCGAAACCAGCAACAGTTATGGTGTTAGTTTGGCTAAAAACTTCAACTTTAATGGTAGAATCAGCACCCTCCATGTAAAGGGTTTGATTCGGATCAAAGCTTAATTGTGGGTTTTCAACGTAAATGTTGGAGTGTGATCCGATGGTGATACATCCAGAACCTTGAACTGGGGAAGTTTGAATATAAGCTTGGTTGAAAAGACAAATTTGACCTTCGTTGGTGATTGGTCTCAAAAATTGACCAAGAGTAACCCAACCGTGAGATCTGGTTTTTTGATAAAAGGTTAGCAAACCGTTGTTAGTCCAGTCAGCAGCTGTCAATCCCATTAATGGTTTGTTCACAGACCCATCGCCACTTAAATAGAATTCACCATTGTTGATGAACCTACCACCTACAAGACCGTAGATTGGGGCAGTTAATGACTCGACTGAGTTAAAGGAAATAATACCATCGTTTGAAATGGTATCAGTGGTACTTGCAAGACCGACATTTAAACCAATTTTGTCACTAATAGAAGTAATGTATAAACCACCTCCTGACCCTACAGTAAGGGAGCCAGCAATCGACGTCACCGCATTATTGATGATAGACCAGTATACATTTGGCTTGACTTCAAATGGACCTGTACCAACATTGAGAGTTCCCGTGGTAACAGTATTTTCGGAAATAGTGGTACCTGCCGCAGTTGCGGCCAGAGCAGCCGTGATCAATATCGAATTTTTGAGTAACATTTTCTGAATGAGTGGAGTGGAGATGCTTCAATCTTACCGATCTTAGAATACCTTTAATTCAGAGGGAAGAGTTCATATTTATATGAATCAAATGACAATGCTACCTTAGTATAGTACATTTGACGAATACATCGTTCCATCAAAAAGCTACAATAACAATTGAAAGCTCCAATTTTTGCAACCCATCTCCGTTCCTTCGTTGTCCTTGACAATAAGACTGAGAGCAACACGGTAATGTGAATTCAGAGAATCCGCCCCAAGTGCTGAATTACAATAGCCACACATTGGAAATCAGGAAGCTTTAAGGGGTCAGGTGACTCTGTACATATTTGGGAGAACCTTAGTAGTGAGAACCCAGCTTATTGTTTGGAGATGTTCATATTGCACTGTTGACTTGTATTTTTTAGCCAATTTTATTGATGCAAATTCTACAAAGACAACCAGACTGAAGGCCCCAGTACAACCATTTAGCAATTTTGCAATATCTAAAAGCAATTATTACGAGAAATTCAATAGTAACCGAGTGAGCAACTATTGTCTTTTTCTCGTGTCTAATAGTAGTAGGTTTGGATTTCTTTCTATGAAACCAAAGAACGATTCGCGTCTTGCCACCAATTATCCTCTGAAGACCTAAATTTAAGCTGGAGTTACATCGGGCCTTCCTATGTAATACCAGCTGTTACTTTTTTCCTATCGTTCGTGTTTTTAACGATGTGGCCTATTGTTCTAATTAATGTGGATGATTTGCGCAACGGATTGTGCGGATATTCCATTCGCGAGAATTGACCGTGGATGGGTAATACGGGCAGAGCGTGTCGTGACGGATACATGTACAGATGGACGCCGACTTGAAAAGTAGCCTCGCCTTCTCTGTAGGTTGAAGATTAACGTTGGCGATAAGATCCGCTCATCGGATCCTATAACTAGTTTTGATAGAGCCCAGTCTCGTTCGGATCTAAGTCGGTAGAATAGACCAACTTGTCAGAGGAAGCGGCTCGTTCATTATTGTATGCGTAAACCTGACATGAAAACAATCCTGCTTGGCAAATTTTAGCAATATCGATCTTGAACAATAATGGTTCGAATAGAATGCTTCATCTTATATTGTGTAAAAATCAAATGTTACATCTAGGAGCTGCCAGGAGCTTCAATATGAACTTTTGGCTCTCTTTTAGGAATACAAAACTCGCAACTTTCTTACGAAATCTGATTATTGAAATTCCAGGTAGAAAATTACGAGTAGTATTTCCCAAATGAGAAAACTGTATGTAGGTTTGAATGCGAATTCTATTGTGCTGACACAAACGTAACCTTATTGTTCAGTGTCAGTGCTCATTGCTAATGACCAGTAAATATTATTGCAACTTGAAGAAAGTGTTGGGTAAGGGTTCGCTTAAAATTCCCACATTATTAGGGACGCCTTGCACTCGTTTACTCTTTTACCCTTTTACTCCATGAAATTCTGAGTCTTGTGTCGACAGTGCTCATTCGTATTATTTGACCTCAATGAGATGTAAAAATAGACCACAAAATGGGCGGGCAAATACTATACGCAGATGTGGTGATGGGACTGAAGAGTTGTCATCTTCTTCGCAAGTGTCACCGGAAACTTTATGCAGTAGTTTCCATTCTCCAGTATACTTAGGTTTCCACTACTCGACCAAGTTAGTGTTGTCTACTCCGTTTTAAGTTTCCCGAGCTCCTAAATTGTTGTTCCTAGCATAGCAAGATTCGTGATTGCACAACCACTGCCTGCTCCTGAAGAATTGATTCAGTTTTTGAGGGTGAAATTCAATAGTATGATTTCTATGTTAGTTTATTTGGAGTAGCCCAATGTTGAAAACTTAACTTTCGAAAGATTTCACATTCACTGATTTCCCTGAGAAAAGGGTGCAATGAGAATACATGAAGTTCTGCAAAGCACACATATATATCCCTAAGATATTCAATAAAATACTGAGGTAACCGGTTTAGAGCCGATGTGGAATTTGCAAGAAACTTTATAGTTAACTTTTTCTTTCAAACGAAAATTGATAAGGGAAAAAGAGGCTCCACCGAGGCAATAATTTGGTTTTTGTTCATTCATTTAAATAACATTCAAGATCAAACACAAACTAATAGGTGTATATGCATGTATCATTGTTCGATGAAGAACTTCTGAAAGTTGAAAATCTCTTACTAATTGTATCGCAGTACTAATTATCTTCTCTATACAAGTTATATACTACAATCTTCCAAGTTCTTGATGCGCACTGCGCTCGATAATTTTTGCAGCCAGATAGAAAAACGTAAACATAAAATGATTCTTGGAATATGATACATCATCAAGCCATTTCAAAGTATTTCTATAATAGAGCTTGGTTTGAATTATTCTATGCGGATTTGTCACTAATCTGTTTCTTCTTAACTGGCTCCAAATTTTCGAATGCGTAATAAAATAGTTAGTTTTAAGGATTTTTATCAAAATTATTGAATTAGGTACTATTTAAAGTAACTACCGAAAAAAGATTGTAGAAAATTAAGTGTCAACGACTTAAGAATTTGAAACACCTTACGAAGAGTTACTTCGTATCAACTTTTGATTAATTGCTCAAAAAGCCAGTAGGGTATAACACAACAGACAAGGAGATAAGTTGCTCTGTTAGCTTAAAGAGCAATAAGGAAAACGGCACCTACCACCAGGGCCAAGGTGGTCTTGAAATCAAAGTTGAGAGTTGGTGCACCGTTGTCAGCAATTGCGGTAACGATTGGAGCAGGGGCAGATGAAGAAGTGCTGCCAGCTCCAGAGTTAGAGCCAGATCCGTTGTTGCCAGATCCAGAACCGTTATTGCCAGAGCCAGATCCGTTGTTGCCAGATCCAGATCCGTTGTTACCAGATCCAGATCCGTTGTTGCCAGAGCCAGAACCGTTGTTACCAGAGCCAGAACCGTTGTTTCCGGAGCCAGAACCGTTGTTGCCAGAGCCAGAACCGTTGTT